TCTTATTGTGGGGCCCATATGTGGGTCTTAATGTTCTTATTGTGGGGCCCATATGTGGGTCTTAATGTTCTTATTGTGGGGCCCATATGTGGGTCTTCCTTGGTGATCCTCTTACACTCCCATATTTGGGGGGGCGGGGAAGAGTCAGAGAGGGTAGCTGACTCAGAGATAAAGGACCGCAATGCGTTTGAGGTGCTGAGCAGAGTATACCGACTGGCTATGAATAGACAGGGCTGTTAAAACGTTACAAACGTCTTGAAATGTATCGAGGGAAGGGTAGGGTAGGGTGAGTATGACTTCCGTAGGCAAAGGTGCCCACTCCCACTGTATTATACAGTCCACAGGCTGTGATGGTCCTGTACATGCGTTGTAGGTGCGGTATTACACTACATGTCTACACATCTCACCATTGCATGCATACTTGCTTCGCTATTCTATATAACTACAAACAATCCATTTACCCGGTGGGGGGGGGGGTGGGGGAGATAATTTTCTTCCACAAACTTTTACTTGTTTCGTCCGCTTGTCAAAGGACCCGCTCATATCCTTACTGATTTGCGTGCTACAGAGCTTTCATGAACACTTCGACTATATCAGTTTTAGGTAAGGAGGTAATCTAATCAGAATCTTGTCAGCTATTACACTACTTTGATAATATAAAGTATAACGCTATCTCACTCTAAACCGTTCTACTATTGATACTACTGATAATACAAAGTATAGCGCTATCTCACTCTAAACCGTTCTACTATTGATACTACTTTGATAATACAAAGTATAACGCTATCTCACTCTAAACCGTTGTACTATTGATACTACTTTGATATTACAAAGTATAACGCTATCTCACTCTAAACCGTTCGTGCTCTTGATCTCACCTGGACTGCCTATCCCCGTTCTTTGACTTCTAACGCGGTTTATTAACTCCCTATAAACTCTACCCTTCTAATCTGCAGACGCACCACTGCATAGCGGATGGAGCCTCTCTTTCCATCATGGTAAGTCTATCGTTGCCGTACATGTGCCCAAGTTCTTCGGTCTCAAGCGCCGACTATATATAGCCACACGCCAAAGGTACAACCTTGCTACAATCCTCTGTGTATTACGTTCTGTGTATGTCTCATGCAACTCGCATAGTCTCATTCTGTACACGTGTTAGGTTTTTGGTTTCATATGCTCATTCTGTACGTGTGTTTGGTTCAATATTCTCATTCTGTACACGTGTTTGGTTTCATATGCTCATTCTGTATATATGTTTGGTGTCATATGCCGCTCGCGTGCGGTCAGTAGTTGGTGCCGTCTCCCATATTCTGCCGTGAGAGGTACTGATAAGCTGTGGTATGTATGGGGTTACCCAGTGCCTATGATACAAACCCGGTGTAATACATATTCTGATTCATAGAACACCTGCTCAAGTGGTGTGTATGGGGTGACCTAGTGCCTATGATACGCAGCCAGTGATGTGCATATTCTGATTCATAGAGCACCTGCTCAAGTGGTGTGGTTCGCTGTGTGTCTTTGCTGTTGAGCTTGCTGTACATCTGATCGGATGGGTTTGTGCGTTGGGTCATTGCGAGTTTTTATTCGTCTAGTCCCTCCTTCACGTAGCTGAAGTTCCTCTGCACGTTCGTAGTACCTGGTACACAAACCCAACCTCATGTAAGCGTTGTCTTCTGAGTATTCGAAACCAAACCTCACTCGTCATACACTCATGCGTGACCCTGTTCTGCTACCTCCACACCCCATTAACATGTAACATGTACGTGGCTGTGTGTAGGTGTCTATATATCCGTATGTCGCAGACACTGCGCCACTACAGTAACCCCGTTTTACTACCTCCACACCCCATTGACATCTAACATGTACTTGGCTGTGTGTAGGTATCTATATATCCGTATGTCGCAGACACTGCGCCACTACAGTAACCCCGTTCTACTACCTCCACACCCCATTAACATGTAACATGTACGTGGCTGTGTGTAGGTATCTATATATCCGTATGTCGCAGACACTGCGCCACTACAGTAACCCCGTTCTACTACCTCCACACCCTATTAACATCTAACATGTACGTGGCTGTGTGTAGGTATCTATATATCCGTATGTCGCAGACACTGTGCCACTATAGTAGCCTCTTTGCATTGGCTGAGTGTGTATCGATTGCCAGTAGTCTCTTGCGTACCAAAGTTTCTACCGCAAGCCAGACCCGTTCAAATACATCACGCGGTCTCGTCGTGACCGTCCAGTATGGGGGCACTCGGACCTTCCCTTCAACTGTCATACTATTCCCGTTGTAAAAACTTGGTTTAAATCGCAATCCTCGTGGCAAGCTGAGCCATCTCTATAGATCACTAACCACCCACGTTCAAGTAGATTATAGATACCACCCACCTGCGTCCAAATAGACTACCCTGTAGGGATATCGGATCTATACCCCCGAGTCCCTGTACCCCCGTACGTGACACTCACCTACCCATGCCTACACACCCTCCCATCCACGCAGCTGTCGACCATGACCGATCCCACACCTGAGCTGAAGAAACTGCAAGCCATGACCTACCTGAAGAAGCCCGTGAACCACAACCGTGGGATCTCGGGTGCGCTCGAGCGTTTTTGGGGGACACTTCTGCTGGCGCTGTACTATCTGTGGGGTTTCATCACCGTCAATCTCAAATACGCCATATCCTTCGCCTCTCCTGGTGTGTGTGGGGGCGAACGTGTGTAGTGCGTTGCAATTGTTGTGGATCGGTGGTAAAGTACGTAGAGGAAGTTCAGTTTGGAGTGTGGAGTGCTTCATTTAGGTCGTGGTTACTAAGTAGAGTACGAGGAAAGTTCAGTTTGGTGAGTAGAGCTATTTGTTTTCGTCGTAGTTACATGGTAGAGTACGAGGAAAGTACAGTTTGGTGAGTAGAGCTATTTGTTTTCGTCGTAGTTACATGGTAGAGTACGAGGAAAGTACAGTTTGGTGAGTAGAGCTATTTGTCTTCGTCGTAGTTACCTAGTAGAGTACGAGGGTGAGCCTATCTCGTACACGTGGTTCATGCTCTTGTGTTAGTGTTATGCCGTTTATTGTAGTCGCTTGATAGAATACACTTGACGTCCAGCATATGTTCCTCATCTCTGCCCCATTCGTGCTATGGTAAAACCATTTGAGTAGACTTAGAGCCTTATAAGGTGTGTGCCTGTGCGTGTGTATATCTTTCTCATCTAATCTCGGACGTCCCTGATTACCAATCAGAGCTCAAGACACAACTCAAAAACCCGTTGGTGGGTGAACGAAGTCATGCGTGGACTAAAACTACCACTGTGGCCGACGTTAAGGTGTGTGTGTATGTGCCACCAGTAATTGGTCAATTGAATGCTCCATCCATGACTCATCCATGACTCATGTGACCAAGCGTGTCCCGGTGGTTGAGTTGGTTTGGTTTCGAGTCCGTGTTTTTTATTCTGTTGGTGGTGTGTGTGTATCGATTGCTGAGTGGTGGGTGATGGGCTTACTTTTTTTTTTTAGCTCAGTGACTTCGGAAGTAGCTTCCGAAATGAGACTGGGTATACGACGGGTAGTTAATGGCAAAGCACACGACTCTCTAGTTGCATGCAAAGCCATGTTGCCGTATACAATAATAGATACATATATATGTATATATGTATCTATATGTATGTATATATATGTATATATACATAGATATGTATATGTATATAAATATGTATGTATATATGTACATATACATATATACATATATATATATATATATATTGAGTTGAAAGGGTAGAGTTCTCTGTACTCAAACTCCATCTGTACCATATTACCAAGACCATCAGAAAGCGATGTGCGGGCATCTCCACTTGTACTGTTTCTATTGCACACTACCGATGAGTATCCCACTAGCGGGATAACACAATCAGTTAGTGATTGGTAGACATTGGCTTAACATCACTTTCTTTTGACCTGTTGTACTGTATTCCCAGTATGTGTCTCACTTTCTTTTGTTAACACTATCAGATAGTGATTGGTAGACATTGGCTTAACATCTCACTTACTTTTGTTCCGTTGTACTGTATTCCCATTGTGTGTCTCTGCGTTCTTCAGCTCGTCGGGAAAGCGTTCGAGGGCACAGTCAACGATGTCATGACAACGGCCATCAGCGGAGCACTGCGAAGGTATCAGTTGCCTTCACTACCGCACATATCATACAAGCTATGCTAACATTATGCAAGTAATATCATGCAAGCTATACTAGTATATGATATCCAAAAGGAAAGACACGACCGGTCGAACGGTCCTTGATGCGCTCGTTTACACTGTGATCACAGCAAGGTTCAGTCCTCCAACTCGCATACTCCGATCACGCACTCTTCCATGCAATGAAGTAAAATCTCTGAAGTTCTCCTACACACCCAGACACCAACATGTGATCCAATGCCAATGCGACATACCGGTGCCATATACACACTCGGTACTTCACCCGTCATGTCCACGCACTGTGACGCAACAAGCAGACATATCCTTCACACGGTCGACTTATATTAAACCACTCACCTCCACAGAAGGCAGTGTGAACCACCCATGCCTTTTATGTGTACAACACACTCGGGTGTACATCTCCCCATGTTAACCAAAGACATCTCTCACACTCTCACATCCTCTCCTCCTTGTCTACACACAATGTGCTGCAACACTCAGGTATCTCTTAGACGGGGACCAGTGGACAGCAGACCAACTGCGGCCGTTGCACCTGGCCTCTCCGGTGAATGTGCGCACCCCCGACGACTACGATGCAGACTACATCCTGCGCAATATGTTTGGCTTTGTGATCACTACGTCGCCGATTGATGAAGCAGATCCCATTGAACGACTCAAGATCATCCGAAAGAATATGCTGGCGATTAAACGGTGCGTGTGTTTAGAGAGATAAAGATAGAGTGTTTGTGTGTGTGTGTGTGTGTGTGTGCTTGCTTTGCGTCAGTAGAGGCGATTGCTTAACGATGCAGTACATCCACCATCCCCTCTCCTTCTCCTCTCCTTCTCTTCCGCCAGTCTACGTGTGTTACCTCTCTAGCTGCCTTTGTGCTCACGTGGTATGTCCTTTGTGTGTTTCTCTCGTCACAGGTCACCCGAACAGACACTCGCCTACCGATCGGCCTTACTGCTGGCACGCGCCAGTGCCAGTTTCCAACAGCGCGTGATGAGATTCACGAACCAGTACATTTCTTACGTATGCACCAATGGTATGTTCTCTGGTTCTGAATCCCGCTCTATGGACTAGCATGTCGTTCGTTTAGTACACTCAACCACATTGCCTTGTCTAGTACAATCATTCCCGTCGCTTGTGTGACTTGAGATATCATACTGCACAATGCATGGTATAGAGGCTTAGACACTGTATGATCGCCTACTACACGCTTCCCAGTTCGGCACTCCGTTGTCTTCTTACACTCATGCTTTTATGTGCGTTCTATCTCCTGTGTAGTTGCTGGGCCCAATATTCCCATGTTGATGACCGGCGTTCCCGTGGTGTACGGGCTCGGTGTGGTACCCCCTCCACCCACAGGTGTGTTGAGTTTCAACTACAGCCAGGGACGAATGTATACTATTTCTGCAAGACTCTGTTAGCATTGGTCACAGCATACGAATACATGCACAGTCAGAATGTCAAGTATATGTGTGTGTTTTATCTAGGTACCTATTGATTCTTCGCATCATTGCGAGAATCGACCATCATCAAGCTAGAGCTGTTGTTTAAATGTTTCATGAGTGTAGCTGTCTACAAGTAGCTGGAGCAGGCGCAGTTCAGGTTACTTCCTACGTGTGATTTTTCATATTGCATGGGTAGGTAGACCCTCAAGGCTCCGGGAGTGTGTTTTATTCTCATGTAATCATAGAGTATATTCCTCGAGGTGTGTGGCAACGCGTGCATTGGGTGATGATATAGTTGTCTTTCTCGATTTTAGGTATACAGCTTTCTCCTTCGGACACAACTTAAATCCTCCAATAGACGGGTTGTTTCCGACCTATGTGGTGACTTCAATCCTTTTCACATGTTCATAGTCTTTTGTTCTATTTCATCTTGTCTCGCTACAGTTGGACTTGGATTCGCCATCTGGTCATACTATGGAATGTTACGTACCGCAGCCACTGTCGACATCGGTACTGGAGTAGACGGGGTAAGTGACTGAATCTTTCGCACCATTTAGTTTGCAGAGTAGAGTAAACACTCGCCACCCAAAGCATGGACACATATCGCGCAGACGTATACGTATTCATTTCCGCATGCACCAAGTCAACGATGAATATTCCATTGTGTTGCACCGCACGTGTGACTAGCCTATTGATTAAATTTGCACAACACGTCCTGTACCGTACTAGAGCATTACTTATAAGAATGACACCCTTTTGCCCATTCCGAGCTACAGTGGAAACTATGCAAATACCTCGACGAAGAGTTGGATTTTATGATCAGTTTAGCGAAAGATAAGCTCGCGGCAGATGCCCTTGCTGGTCCTAAGGCGACCAACGCGGGCGAGAAAAAAACTCAGTAAATCAAACTGCATTGTGGACACTAAATCGTATGTAGAAAATAGTATAAAGGGTGATCGTAGCGAATTATAAATTTCCTGATTAACAATAAAATAAGAAAATACGAGCGATTCAATGTGTTTATTATAGGTGAGGCGAAGCGCTGCGCTGCACCGAATCAGATATACCGGCTTGCTGACATACGTGTGTACTTCCATATTCGAAAACGACTCTTTTTTGAAGTCGGGGTTCAATATCTGTCTCTTTAGAGGGCAATGGTATCCTCGACCTCTTGAGCCCATATAAAGTATGAGAGCGAACTAAGAATAGACACCTGCGTATAAATATTGACAAGCTATTATTGATGTTGATAAATTAAATTTTCTTTTTAAGTTCCAAATTTATATCCGATGAAGCTAACCGGTGCAGCGCTTCACTAGTAATGAAGAGATACCCAGTTCGACTCTGGGCATTGGCTTTTTATTTTGATGCTCTTTAAAAATAAATTTTCAGAGTACATACAAGTAACTTTATATCTTTAAAAAAATATCGCCTTAGTTGCGTATAACGTCTCTCTCTATCTACATAATTCGTAAGCTTGTTTATTGATTCACAAGAATAAGACCGCTAATGTGCATAGCGCCTTGTGTACGTGTATTTCTCAACTACCAAAGCTTGTTAAGGGATCTACTGGTATGCACGCTTCATACCTCTCGTTTTGGTTCAAATACAAAGTAAATGTACCACGTAGATGGTGCAAACTAAATATATATGTCGTGATATATGATATTTGCACAGTCAAACCGCATGTTTGAGAAGTCGATATGCGATGCTTAGGTTCATGTATTCCGACAAACCGTTCTCCGTTAAAAAAGACCTCATAACCTAGTACTTGCAAAATCTACTGCTTCTATGTATTGACACTAATCTGTCTAGTCCAAACTAACAACAAAAACAAAATAAATCGCACCACGTTGGCGAAATTATGCCTCAAAAATACCGCCTTGTTTGTGTATTCGTTGTCTTTTTTATTGTTTTGGTATTTTAATACATTTATTCTTTTTAAACTCTCAAATTCCTTTGAAGCTAACCGGTGCAGCGCTTCACTTGTAATGAAGAGATATCCAGTTCGACTCTGGGCAAGGGCTTTTTTCTACATTTATAATATATACAATCTGTAGCTTATGCATTTTACGGTATATGTTCGGCTCATTATTGCTATACCAAGTAGTTGAAAGACCTGCTTACCCAAGTAAGTGGTAAGCGTTTTTGAACCAGTTCAAATCTTGCGCCCTATATTCTATGGGGAATACCTTCCTTTTGTTCCAGCTTATGAGTAATTGGATGTCCAAGACAAAATGATGTTTGACTTCTAATGGAATATTTGCTGTAATGTTTGGCTCACACTGTGTGCATATAGACATAATATTAACCCAAATTGAAATAAACAATATTATCCCTTATTTGTGTCCGATTGAAAGTCTTCAACCGGATACCCAGATGGATTTTCCAGTGCGATACGAATAGGCCCTAAAGCAACACAAGAGAGCAAGCTTCTGGTATAATACAATGAGCTAACAGCCACCAGTCTATATTAATATCATGCGCAAAGAAAGTAAGTCATCAACTTTGATTCTCTACTATTCATTACCACCTGCGGTTTCTGTATGAGTAGTGTGCACGGGTTTTGGGTCGATCAAGTAGAAGAGTATATTTTTACACTGTAACCGTCATTCAATACCATTTATACATTGACAGTAAAGTGTTCATATGCGAATTGTGCTGTTCGATAGTAATTATAGGTATGAAATGCATCAGTCATACTTTTTTCTGTTCTTTCAAAGTTTTCTCATTGTATTGTGAGTCAGCCTTCTCGTAATAATAGTATTTTGAGATCAATTAGGGCCAACAGATCAAATATGCTTATATATAGGTCACCTACTGTGTGTAGTGATAGTCGACTTTGTCTGGCGATAGCGTGTTGTGTGTGTATCATCTTGCTCAACTTTCCGATAAGTTGTATTGATATTGCGCAAAGAAAGTAAGTCATCAACTTTGATTCTCTACTATTCATTACCACCTGCGGTTTCTGTATGAGTTGTGTGCACGGGTTTTGGGTCGATCAAGTAGAAGAGTATATTTTTACACTGTTACCGTCATTCAATATCATTTATACATTGACAGTAAAGCGTTCATATGCGAATTGTGCTGCTCGATAGTAATTATAGGTATGAAATGCATCAGTCATCTTTTTTTCTGTTCTTTCAAAGTTTTCTCATTGTATTGTGAGACAGCCTTCTCTTAACAATAGTATTTTGAGATCAATTAGGGCCAACAGATCAAATATACTTATATATAGGTCACCTACTGTGTGTAGTGATAGTCGAATTTGTCTGGCGATAGCATGCTGTGTGTGTATCATCTTGCTCAACTTTCCGATAAGTTGTATTGATATTGGAATCTTTTAATGGGCTGTTTCAATTAAAATACTTGCACCTATGAGAGTAAGTGAAACTGAAACACGCTAAGCTATTGCTCAGTCGATGATGTCCCATGTCACAACAGGATATCAAACAAAAGAAAAGAAGGTAGACTACAGAACTTCAATAAACCAGATGAGTTGATTATCAACCTCCGATTATATTTGTGTACCTCTCGATCACTTATTGTATTGGTCAATCGGTCGCTACTGTCACATGTTTTAGACCCTAAACCCTAAAACCCATTTTGAAGTCTATCCTCTTTTGGAGTGCCGTCC